TGTACACAGCCAGGAGTAAATCCTCAGATTTAGGTGAGGCCCAAATACCTCCCACTGAAAAAACAAACAAACAAACAAAACTCATCAGTTTTTTGTTCCTGGCACTATTCTAGCTCATCCAACACCCCACGGCCAACACCCAATGGCTCTCTAGAAAAGGGAAATCCAGTCATCCTCCGTACCCAAAGGCCCTGCGCTGCCCCCACCTGGTCCCAGTCACCCTAACTGCTTTGGGAACAGCCAGCCTGTTCTGCTCAGGGCAAGGCTGGTGTCTCCATAGCGCCCTCAACTGGGAAGTGGATGCAGGTACAAGACAGGCCTGTCCACAGGACGTCATTCTTTCCCGCAGCCTCACCACCAGACTCAAGTTGTAGAGGCTCAGAGCCTTGCCCAAGACCACAGGGCCAGTCACAGTCTAGGTCAGCACTGTCCAGAATAGACCCAGTCACATGGATGTCCAATTTCCTAAGCACAAATGACATCTCCCATTTAAATTGATTAAATAAAGCTTAACATTCAACCTAATTATTTGTTAATTGAATTTAATGATTTCATCTAATAAACCTTATGAACTAATTTAATTATTAATTAAATAAAGCTTAAAAGTAGCTCTGTTCTTTTTCTTCAGTGAGGGGGGCTAGGGGGCACAGACCCAAGTCTCAGAAGCGCACACAATAAGCATGCTTTACTTACGTGTTTTACTGCCAAACCACATCCCCAGAACTTAATCTTTTAAATGAAATTTTTACTTTTTTGGGAACCACATGCAGTTGTAGTCCGGTCAGGAGTTATTCCCGGTGTCACTCTGGCAGTGTTCAGGTGCCAGGGATGGAAACGTGGGCCTCGTAAGTGCAAGTTATCTACTTTGCCCCCTCTTTATTTTTCCCTTTTGAAATTTCTATTCATTTATCTATTGCCATGCCCATCGGTGCTCAGGGACTCCTGGTGAAGATAGGGGGACCATATGGGAGGCCAGGAACTGAACCGGGGTCAGCCAGCTGCATGCAAGGAAAAAATCCTAACCACTATACTATGGGTCTGACTCCAGCTCTGTCTTTGAACCACCTCTCCAGCCCTGGGATTTCTATTTTGACAATAACTGGGCCACCCTAGTCCCCCTCTCCCTCCTCGGACTATGTGAAGCAAAGGCCTGGAATCTCTTTTGCTAGAGTTTGTGGGAGGAAGGGCAGGGGTACGTTCAGAGATTGGAGAAACAAGGACTCAGCACATGCAGGCAACCCCCTACCCCATGACCTTCACACTACTACATACCAATTCAATCTATTTGTTAGAACTGGCTATAATATTATAGTTTAAGAAAATATCATCCATGTACCGTTGGACCATGTAAGGGTTAAAAGTTTGCAAGAGTCAGACCCTGAAATTTAAGTGCAGCCATTTGTACTGACTGTGTAGCTCCCTACCAGACCCCGGGGCTGATGGTAACCTTCTGCGCTGATAAGGTTGTGCCTTGACCCTGAGCTATGTACAGAAACATTTTGCTCCCATGTGATGTGTGGCTGTATCTGTAGCTTGTCTCCATTTTTTGATGTATGACTGCAAAACAGATCATGTTTTAAACATGATTAAAATTGTAGCTAATCTTGCAAGATTTTAATTGCCACTCTGGAACGTAGTTTTAGCAATCTCCATTTTTGAATCATTTGTCAATGGGTAAGAGTTCCATGACCTGTCACAATCCTTGCGATGAAATAAATTCATGTCCTACTCCCCTTCTGTGTCCCCACTATCTCACTGAGTTATGATGAACCTAGGCGTGGCAACCCCTCCTGGTAACGGTCCCAGGGACCTCTTGAGTTCACTGGCATGCCTGTCCCCAGGGATTCCCTTAGAAGCGCTGTTCATGCCACCCCACAGTTTGCAGGGAGGAGAGACAGGCAAAATTGGATGCCTGCCCGAGGGGCTCTGCCAGGCTCCTACTAGAAAGGGTGACTGCAGCTGAATGGAAGAGCAGGGCTGAGCCAGGCGGAAGGCTGTGACCCCTTGAACCTCTCCCTGCTTTGAGGTGACCTCCTTTTGGGAACATTGATCTACAGGAGTATGGCAATCTCACAGTGGGAAGTCGGAGTCCTGAGACCCAGAATTGCACTGTACTTCCTGGAGAAGACTGATCTGCAGGGGTGAGTCCCCACAGCAGGCAGGCCTGGGAGCATAGTCACATCCTGAGAGGTCGCCTTTGCTCATCTCATTCCTTAGTGGGGAAAGTGTGACCAGTCCTCAATAGTCAAATTTGCACTTGTGGCCCTGATTTGGGCCTTGTTTTATTGTATTTTTTGTTTGTTTAGTTTTTTGTTTGTCTGCTTTTTGGGTCACACCCAGTGATGCACAGGGGTTACTCCTGGCTCTGCATTCAGGAATTACTCCTGGTGGTGCTTGGAGGATTGTATGGGATGCCAGGGATTGAACCCAGGTCAGTCGTGTGCAAGGCAAACAAACACCCTGCTTTCTCTCCTATCACTCCAGCCCCATACTAAATTTTTTTTAATATCTCACAAACAAGCACAATCATTCTATGGATATCACTCTCCTTCTGACTCATTTCACTCAGTATGATACTCTCTGAGTCCATCCACTTATACGCAAATTTTATGACTTAATTATTCCCGGTGGCTGTGTAGTATTCCATTGTGTAGATGTACTAGCGCTGGCACGGATATGGGGAGAAAGGGATTCTCATTCATTGTTGGTGGGAATGCTGCCAACTGGTCCAGCCTTTTTGGGAAAACAATATGGGAATTCCTTAAAAATCTATAAATTGGGCCTTGGTTCATTGTCAACCTCTTTCATTGCTCCCCAGACACCCCAAATTCAGTCCTACCAATCAGACTTTTGCATAATCTGTCCTGTGCCCTGGAAACGTCCTTCCTCTTCTCTCCTGTCTCCCTACAGTCCTCCAGGTGCTATAAAACTTAGATCTTCTGCCTTTTGTGGGGAAGCTGTTTGCCCGGCCCTTACCAAGCCTTTTAGCCAACTGAAAACAAACCCTGTGGTTCACAGACACTATTGCCATCTGTGAGCAAGTTCGTTGTGCTCTATGTATTCGACAAATATTTATTGTGCCCCACTCTGTGCACGCCCTGTGCTGGGTACAAGAGTATACTATGGTTCCCTGGAATGACATTCTCAGCGAGCACTGCATTTCCAGGCCAAAAGTCACGACAGGCCTGAAAGCAAAGCCGGAAAGGGGAGGGAGGGCTGGCCTATATATAGAGGAAGATGCACTGAAACTCTCTCTTCTCTTCAGGGAAGATTGCCCTGAGAAGGTGACTCTTGATCACAGTCCTCATAGAAGTGAGTTTGCACCAAACAGTAGCCAGTGCAAGAGATTCAAGACTGGACTGTGGCCAGCATGTTCATGTTCAGTCAACAGAGAGAAGATGGTCCATATGGCCTGAGTCAAGAGGCCAAAGGTCATAGTAGGAACACACACACACATACACACACACACATACACATATATCCATATATGATCTATATATAGACTGGGCCACACTTGTAAGTCGCTACTCATGGTCTGAGCTCAGATGTGTCAGCTGATGGTACTTAGTGAACTATATGTGGTGCTGGGGATTGTACTTGGTATTAGCAGCATACAAGGCAAGTGCTTTGTTTTTGGGCCACATCCAGCTGTGTCCAGTGCTTACTCCTGTCTCTGTGCTCAAGGTTCACTTCTGGCAGTGCTCAGAGGATCATATGGGGTTCTGGGGATCAAACCTGGGTCAGTTGCACGCAAGGGCAAGCAAACTCCTTACCCACTGTACTAATCTCTTCAGCCCCACTATTTTTGTTTTTTGAGGCAACACCCTACAGTGTTCAGTGGAAATTCTGGGCTCTGTGCTTGGTTAGCTCTCTGTCATGCTCAGGATCAAACCCAGGTCATCAGGGAACAAGGCCAGTGCCTTAATCCTGTACTGGCGCTCAACTGTTTCTATATTTGGCTCCGGTCCTTCCAGGGCGAGGAAGTCCTGCTCCTCCACCAGCTCAGGGCAGGTTTTCCGAGATGATTCAGTCAGACGCTGATTTGCTGTTCCAGGACACACCGCCTAGTCTCAGGATGCAGTGAGAAATTACAGGGCTTGGCCGGATCCTTATCAGTGTTGGAGTCTTGCCATGCCAGGTTCCCCACGGGAGGTGATGGAAGGTTCCTGAACCTGGAAAAACATCTGGTCCAGGCCAGTTCCAAGTTGGGAAGATGCCCAGAATGTAGCAAAGGTGGAGCAAAGGTCTAGCCACAAGCATTAGCTCCCTGTAGCACAAATGAGAGCAGGAAGGGCCTCTGGTGGCTTGATCCCTGTATTGTCTCCTCTTTTAAATACATAAACATTTTAGGGCTCGGAGAGATCTGCCAGGGGGACCACATACGGTCTCCTGAGCCCCCCTAGGAGCCATCCCAGATCACAGAGCCAGGAGTAAGCCCTGAGCACCTCTGGGCGTGGCCCATAAACAAAACCAAAAACAAACACATAAACGTTTTAAAACGCTTTCTACGGGTCAGGCGGCCAGGCTGTCAACACATTCCTTTCAGTTACAAACGGGAAAACCGAAGCCCAAGGATCGCGGGTATTTTCCCGGAGATCGCACAACTAATTAAGGGGGATAACTAGATTACGCTACTCCGTGAACATAATTTCGAAATTCTAAACTGACGCATGTTCTAAGCGCGTTCGGAGGAGCGAACCGTTTAAGGAATTCCCAGGAGATGAAGTACGAGGCGCGTGGAGCGAGGAGCCAAACCAAACCCAAACAGGACAACGCGGGCGCTTTAAGAGGATACGAACACATGAGCCACGTGCCCTCCACTTCCGGAACCCCAAACCCAGTCGCTTCGGGCCAACCCCGACCCCTCCGTCCCAGAGCATCTTGGGAAATGTAGTTCTACTCCCCGTAGGGAGACACAAGAATGCGGGCGGCTTGGAACTTCGTTTCCCAGAAGGCTGCGCTCGCTGGGCTCGCCGGGGCAACGGGCTGATGGGGGCAAACCTCTCATTCCGGAGGTTTGAACTTTTCCGAGGGGATGACAAACGGCGGGCAGAGGCTTTGGGCAGCGCCACCCGTAGGCTGCCCCGCCCTGCGGAGCGGCGCGCAGAGAGGGCGGAGCCGCGGCCCAGCTCTGCTTCCGGCCGGGGGTTAGGCGGCGCGGGCGCCGCGGTGGGCGGGGCGCGGCGCCGCGACCCGCGTTGCTATTGGCGGCGGTTGGGGGCGCGGAAACTGAACGGCCGGCAACGGCGGCGCTCGCTCGCTGGCCCGCTATGGCCGGTCCGTGCCCGGTGAGTGCTGCGGACAGAGGCCCGCCGAGCCCTCGTCTCTCCGCGGAGCCGTCCACACAGGCCTGCAGTGGGGGGGTGGGGCGGTGCGGGGGGCGTGGGGAACGCGGGCGATCCGTAACGGTCCGGGTTGGCCCCAGCTTACGGTGTGTGCGGGGGGCTGCGTGGGGACCCCCTGCACCCCCTGCCCGAGCTCAGCATTCGCCTCTTAGCGGGGCCACGCTGGCAACCCTCCGCCTGGAGGTGACACTGGTGGCCCGTCTCTGGGTGACTCTGATGTGCAGTGTCTCCCCTGGGTCAGGCGTTGCCTCCTTGAGTTCCAAGTCCCTAAAGACGACGGGACCGAGCGTTCGAAAGCCCCTCTGCTTTGGGAGGGGTCGTTCGGAACCGGCCTGGCCTTGCCCCGCCTAAGGGTTCGGGCGAGAGGACCAGGAGGGGACCACATGCATCCCACTAGGGGCCTGGGGGCCTGAGCTGAGATCCGAGACTTGCAGGCCTTTCAGTGATTTTTTTTGAATGATTGGGGTTTCGCCTGCATTGCTCAGTGCTTATTCCTGGCCGTGCTTGAGAATTTGGATCCCACCAACAGTACTTCACTCCTTTTTATCTGAATAATACTCTGTTGTACGGATAGACCCCCATATTCTGTTTCTCCATTTGTTGGTGTATATTTAGGTTTGTCCACTCTTTTTTTTTTCTTTTTTTTTTTGGCTGTTATGAGTAATACCGCTGTGATGTTTGAGTGCAGATTTTTGTCTGTGCTTTCAATTCTTACTGGTGTGTCCCATGAATTGCCTGTCATTTGATAATTGAATTGCTGGTCAATTTTCTTTTGGGGAACTGACATACTTTTATGCAGTAGATTTCCCCCCCCCCTTATCTGTTTTTAAGATTGAAAGAGGATTTTTGTCTACTTTGGCTATCACATTTTTATATGAATTTTAGAATCATCTCGCCATTTTCAGGGATGGGGTGAGGGAAGGGCCTTGGATTGATTATCCTGGAGTTGTGTAGAGTCTGTTGGTCAATTTGGGAAGTTACTGTTTCTTGTTTGTTTTTTGGGCCACACTCTGCTTTGCTCAGGGCTTAACTCCTGGCTCTGTGCTCAGGGATCACTCCTGGCAGGGCTCAGGGGAACATAATGGGTGCCAGGGATCACACTTGGATTGGCCGCGGGCAAGGCAAGTGTCCTACAAATTGTACTGACTCTCCAGTGCCAGTTACTGCATCATAACATCAGGTTTTCCAGACCATGGGCATGGAATGTCGTTCCTTTTTTGTTGCCCTTTGATTGGGGGCCTCACCGGGCTGTGCTTGAGGCCTGTTCTGGTTCTGCACTCAGTGATTACTCTGTGGATCTTGGGAAGCCATTTGGGTTTCCAGGGACCAAACCTGGTTTGGCTGTATGCAAGGAAGTGCCTTTCGTGCTGTGCTGTGTCTCTGGCTCCTCCATTTATCTAGATCTTTCTAAACTTCTTCTAAAATATGTGTGTGGTGTGTGTGTGTGTGTGTGTGTGTGTGTGTGTGTGTGTGTAGAAGGGTGGAGGGAGTGTTCTGGGTCATACCCAGCAGTGCTCAGGGCTTACTCCTGGCTCTGTGCTCAGGGATCACTCCTGGCAGTGCTTAGGGGACCAAGTCAGGTGCTAGGCATAGAAATGGGTTGGCCACATGCAAGGTAAGTTGTATTATCTCTCTGGCCCTTTTTAAAATATTTTGTACTTTCCACTGTAGAATCACCTTATAATTCTCTTGTTAATTTGTTCACCAAGTATTTTATTCTTTTTCCTGTAGTATATGTGGAATTATCTTACTTTTTTCAGATAATTTGTTACTGATGCATCAAACTACAATTATGTTTTGTAAGTTGATGGTATCTTTCAGATGATATCTTTCACCATGCTAAACCTGTGTATTGGCTCTAGTAGGTTTTCTTTTGGTGGATTCTGTAGGATTTTCTGAGCCTTTGAAACTCCTGGCTGGGAGAGGAAGTGTTTCGCTCCTGGGGAACCCCCTTCCTCATCTAGGCACCCCACCTCTGACCCTGGCTCTCCCTCAGGAAGACCCCTCGCTGGAGAGGCATTTTAAGGGCCACCGGGATGCAGTCACCTGCGTGGACTTCAACCTCAGCACAAAGCAACTGGGTAAGAGAAGGCATCTTGTCCTGTTGGGTTCCTGCACTCAGGAACCTGGTTTCTACCTGGGAATTGGTGTGTGTGTGTGTGTACAGTATGGCAGGGACGGGGTGGGGGTAGGGCACTCTGTCTAGAGCCAAGCTTCTTAAACTGGCTTGTAATCCCTCTCATGTCATTTCTGAGACTGTGGGGGTTGTGAAAAATAAATTTCTGGATGATTTATAATGAACAAATGTTTGGTTTGTGTACTACTTTTGTAGACCTCTATCCCTGGGGCCACAGGAACATTCCTCATAAAATGGGGTCTTGAGTGGCCAAGTTAAGAAGCCCAGACCTGCGGCCTTTGTGGGCGGTCAATGGGCAGGGCTTTTCCCTGCCTCCATTTGGTCTGGTCTGAGGAGTAGGCCCTGCCCAGAGGCTCTTCTGCCTCATGGCTTATTCCTGTTGCATAGTGGAGGCTCCTGCCTCTCCGGGAGCCTGAGTGGAAGAGAGCGGGGGCCCCTCTCCTTCTCTGCCCTCACGCTCTTCCCCCGGGGGGCTATCCTGTGAATGAGACACCTCCCTCACCATCCTGTTGCGGCTCCAACTGTCATGGTGGCAGACGGAGAGGATACTGCAGGCAGCGCAAGGACCCTTAGGTTTCCAGTTGGTGCTCAGTGTTGGGGTGGCTCTTGAGTGTTGGCAGGATTTGGTGGGTCAGTGGGAGACCTGGACCCCAGGCGAGGGGAGCGTTCCTGGAGACCCCCGTAAATGCAGCCCAGGGCTGGCTCCCTGTGTCCCACAGCACACTCAGCTGACAGGCTTCCAGGTCCTGGGAGAAGGCGGAGTGGGGCTGGCAGGCGGCCTCCTGCTTGCTCCTCTGCCCCGTCCCTGTCCCCCCATGGTCCTGGGAGGGCTCGGGTCATGGCTTCCCAACTCTCCCAGCCAGTGGCTCCATGGACTCCTGCCTCATGGTCTGGCACATGAAGCCCCAGACACGCGCCTACCGCTACACGGGCCACAAGGACGCCATCACCTGTGTCAACTTCTCCCCCTCGGGACACCTACTTGCCTCCAGCTCCCGCGACAAGACGGTCCGCATCTGGGTACCCAATGTGTGAGTCATAGGCGTTGTGGGTGGTGTTGGGATGTGTATGTTTTCATGGATTGCACTCAGGGCCTCATGTACAAGGCGAGGCCCACGTACCTGGCCCCTGAGTTAAGAGTTTTGGGGAGCCCTCAGGACCGGCGCTGTGGCCTCCAGCCTCTGGATTAGTCACACTTCCCGGGAGGTGCTTCAGCTGGGGCCCTTCCCTGCAGGCCGAGAGTGGGGTCTCGGACCCAGACATCCTGCAAGGGATTATTTCCCCCCCCCCCCCCATGCTCTCACAGCTGGGGGTGGGCTGTGCTATCTCCTGTCGGGCATCTGGCTTCCCTCAGGTGGGGTGCTCAGGCCTGGGCTGGCTCTGGGAGGGGAGCAGGGCCTGTGGGCAGTCCAGAGGCCCCTGCTTCATTCTTTTGGCATTTCTGACTGGATGTCGGTCTCCACAGCAAAGGCGAGTCGACTGTGTTCCGTGCCCACACTGCCACTGTGAGGAGTGTCCACTTCTGCAGTGACGGCCAGTCCCTGGTGACTGCCTCTGATGACAAGACCATCAAAGTGTGGTCCACACATCGCCAGAAGTTCCTGTTCTCCCTGAGTCAGCACATTAACTGGGTGCGCTGTGCCCGGTGAGTGGACGCCACAGAGCAAGACACAGGGGACAGCCGGGCACCAGCATTGTAACCTTGGGTAGGGGCCTTAGCACTCTAGAATCTCCCTGAGGGCTGGAGTGCAGCCCTGCCTGGGGATGCCATGAGTTCAATCCCTGGCTTACGTACTTCCCTGAGAACTGGGTGTGACCCCGGTGGTCCCCAGGCACCTGCACCTGTGGTGACTCTGGTGGCCCTGGCATTGCCTGACTGGAGCAACATGGCACTGCTGGCCGGCACACTGAACCTCGGGCCTGCACAGCTGGGCCCAGGTATTGCTGGAAATGGTTCCCTGGTCCCCTGCATGTTTCTTGGGTAACCCCTCAAACCCTCACCAAAAATTTCACTCTGAAAATCTTTCACTCTGAAATGGGAACAAGGATGGTTCAGACCTTATGAGTTGTCGAAAAGCTTCACTTGAGCTCCTGTGTGACAAGGCAGTTTGTTTCCTGGCCAGCCCCAGGTTATCTCAGGCCCTGCTCAGGGTAGTGACAGGAAGAGTGTCAGGGCCACCGCGCCTTAGGCCTCCTTTTCCCCTGAACCCTGCAGAGCTCGGTGGCGTTACCCACACTTTGCAGATTTGGACACTGAGGCCCGACAGTGCCGTGGCTTGCCCCAGGACACATGCTGGGTTTGACCGGGCGGGGTCTCTGACCCAGAGGCTTTCTCCTTTCCTGAGGGGTAGGAACCTAGGCTTCTGTGGGGTTGATCTGAAGGCTGGCTCTCCCTTTGGGATGGAGTGGGGGGTGTTGCTGTGGGCATGGGGAAGAGGCCTTGCAGTGCCCCAGACTCAGACACACACCCCTGGGGTGCTGTGTTCCTTTGCAGTGATTGGCGTGTCACATCTCTGATGGAGCAAGGCCAGGAGCCTGGGGATGCTTGGAACCGGTGGAGGTCCAGGGCTGGGGACTGTTGCTCTGCTTCCGGGGACCCCTTGCCAGTTACTTACCTCCCAGTGTACCAAAACTGTTTTGGAAGTCCTGCACATACTTAGAGGCCTTGTCACCAGTCTCCTGAGAATGGGAGGGCCCAAGGACAGCAGGCGGGGTGTGGAGCCACACTGGAGGCTCCCCAGGCTCTGGACCTCCTGGCCTCTCGCTGGCAGGTAGTGTCTTGCTGACCGACTCTGAGTCAGTTGTGAACTCAGAGGACTCTTAGTAGCTCCCGCAGTTAGCCTGCCGGTGGCCACATGCTGTGTGTGTGTTGGGGCTGCGGGCATGACACTGCTCCCTGCTTACCCCAGGGGCGGGGGCCCTCCCATGCAGTGTCTTTTCACAAAGCAGGGCATGTAGCCCCCATGGACTCTGGGGTCAGCCAGTGGGCAGTGCATGTAGCCCCCATGGACTCTGGGATCTGGGTGGCTGGGGAAGATGGTGGTGGTGCCATGAGGTCTGGTGTGACTGACTCCTGTCCCTCTGGTTCAGTTTCTCCCCCGATGGGCGCCTCATCGTGTCCGCCAGTGACGACAAGACCGTCAAGCTGTGGGACAAGGCAAGCCATGAGTGCATCTACTCGTACTGTGAGCACGGCGGGTGAGTGCAGGCCCCATCCCTGCTGGCGGACGATGCAGAGAGGAGGGCATGGGGGGCAGTGGTGGGAGCCGGCAGCCCACTCACCTGCTCCCTGTGACTGTATCATTTCCTCTGTGGACAGAGACTCTGCCTCCTCTCTCTCCCCCAGGTAACAGGACGGCTTAGCTTCAAGGCATTTTTCTGATTTTGGGGTAGGGGGTAGGATGGAGTGGCACATTTGGTGGTGCTCAGGAGTTACTCCTGGCTCTGCACTCAGGAATTATTCCTGGTAGTGACTGGGGGACCATATGGGATGCCAAGAATTGAATCCAGGCCGGCTGCGTGCAAGGCAAACGCCTCCCCGCTGTACTCTTGCTCTGACCTCAAGGCATATAATTCTTTAGGTTTGGGGTGATTCTGGTGATGCTGGTGCTACTCCTGGCTCTGTCTGTGGGTCATCCTGATAGTGCTCAGGGTGCCATGGCATGCCAGGAATCGCCTGAGCATCCTGCAGGAAAGCGTGACCATTAAGCTGTCTCTCTGGTCCCAAGACATACAATTTAGGAAACTTCTATTTTCTAGTTCTCACTCTGACTTGTCTGTCTGAAAGTAGTTGGCCCAGAATTGTAAAAGGCATATTAAAGTCTGGAGAGTTGCACAGGGTTTAAGGTGCTTACCTTGCGTGCAGCTAACCCTCAGTACCACATATGGTCCCCCAGCATCCCCAGGAGTGAGCACAGAGCCAGGAGCAGGCCATGGGCATTGCCAGGTGTGGCCCAAGGATCAGCCGCAAAACCGAAAGCCCCAGACAGAGCGCAGTACACAGCGTATTGGGATGTAACTGAGGGCCAGGGCCTTATGTGGTTCCTGTGGTGGGTGTGACTGTACACCCTGATCACAGCTGGGACAGAGAGGAGAGTGTGTTTGAGCGGGGGCTTCCCGTCTCCTGGGCTCCCAAGGGAACCGTGCTCTTGGTCTCACTTAGTTCTGGATGGGCTCCTGCGAGGCCCCAGCCGGGGCATCACACACAGGGATACTGCCAATGCTTGGCCCGTCTCCTGGGGAGAGACCACTCTGGGCCCTGTTGCCCTTTGTGTCTGGGCTTCTGCCCCCCCCTCCCCGCCCCCGCCCCAGCATTGGGATGGGTAGCAGCTCCCACACTGAGGACATATGCCGACCTTCAGTGTGAAGACACTTTCCTGTGGTCTCTGTGGAGGGCTGGGTATTGGGCCCTGTTTTCTGGCCAGCCCATCTCTGTCCCTGTGGGCACTGTCTCATCCTCTATTTGCTGCCCCTCGGTCTCCTGACGAAGTGGTCGGTGTCCTGGGCTTTGGGGAGGGTCGCAGCAGGTGCACGGAGATGGGAAAGTGCTGAAGGCTTCCAGACTTGTTCATTTTGTTGTGTGTGTGTGTGTGTGTGTGTGTGTGTGTGTGTGTGTTTTGGAGCCACAACTGACAGTGCCTAGGGCTTACTCTAGGGTCTGCGCTCAGGGGTCACACCTGATGGGGCTTGGGGGACCATATGAGAGCCGGAGACTGAGCTCCGGTCAGCCATGTGCAAGGAAAGTGCCCTGCTGACCATACTGTCGCTGCAGCCCCCCCTGTAGCAAGTGGTGTCTCTCTTCCAGGTTTGTCACCTATGTGGACTTCCACCCGAGTGGCTCATGCATTGCTGCTGCCGGCATGGACAACACAGTGAAGGTGTGGGACGTGCGGACTCACCGGCTTTTGCAGCATTACCAGTGTGAGTGCCCTTGGGTAGCCCCGAGGGGCAGGGGAGCAGCCAGGCGTCCCTCATGGCTGTGGCGCCTGAATGGGCCTAAAGTCAGTCCTGGTCAGAAGGAGCAGTCCCGATTGGGTGGGGTCTCTAGGGCCAGGTTCGCTTGAAACCTCAGCCTGAGAGATGGAGCCAGGCATCCCCCAGTTATTGGGTGTCCACTCTGGAGAGGGACATGTCATTCCTGCTGCAGGGCCTCAGGGGCCCCTCCCTGTGACTCTGACCCGGGCTCCATGTGAGAGATACAGCTCAAGGACTGACCGTGCCACCGGTCTCCCCCGGGAAGGAGGCTCTGCCCCTCAGGCCAGCTGGCAGCCCTTGGCCTGTGGTGAAGCAGACAGGCCTGTTTCAGCATGGGGGTATGTGCTCGCATTGCACACAGCTGACCCCGTCTCAGTCCTCAGCACCATATTGGTCCCCGAGCGCTACACAGGAGTGATCCCTTTGCACATCTGGGTATGGCCCAACAATAAGCGAAGAGAGAGGTCAGTGCTGGCGGGGCCTCGGCCATTGTGTGTCCCCGCACCGTCTTCCACAGATGTGACTCTCTGAGCTGGGTGTGGCTTCGGGCTGGCCATAGGCAGCAGCTCTTTGTATCTCCTCGTAGCCCGGTGGGGTGGGGGGGCAAGTGGCAGGTGGTCACATGGGCAGGGGAAAGCTTTGGATGGGAGGTGGGGTGGGCGCCCATGTGGGGGTGACCAGGATGTGATATCAAGTATTGGGGTGCCGAACCTGCTTGAGAGTAAGAGTGACTGGGCTGAGTCACTGTCACCAGATGTGGGCATGGGCCACAGAAGTGCCAGGGTTCGTAGTAGGAGGCCAGTGAGAGGGGTGCTTGGGGCTGAGACTAGAGTGGGCAGAGCCGGGCGTGTTGCTGCCATGGGACTCAGTTGTAGTTCCCTGAAATCCCCTGCTGTCATTCCCAAAGGTCAGCCCTGCAAATGGGAAGGAGGTGTGGAGAATGAGGTGGCTTGGGTCCGAGGTCTCCCTGGCATCCCTGCACGCCCAACTCACTTTCCTGCTTTTGAGGATGCCGCTTGGTTGGGGTGCTTGGGGAGAGTTGGGCGTGCGCACTGCCGCCAGCTGCAGCATTCCCAACTGTGACTTCAGATTGGCCATTGACTCCCAGGCCTTAGGACTACCCAGGGTGGTGTTGGGAGGGTGACCCCCTGTGACTTGTTAATGCCCTGCTGGAGTCAAAGTCGAAGCCCGCAGTACCCGAGATCACCACTAGGTGGCACAGGCCAGCCACGGGAACTTTGTGTGCAGTGGTTGGTGGGGGAGCTCCCTGGTTTATCCTGAGGCTGGTTGAGACAGCAAAGTCTGCGCCCTGCTCTGCATGGAGGCCATACTCTTTGTCCCTCTTTAGGCTTAGAGAACTTTCTCCTGCTCTGGACCCGGCCTGGCCCTGGGCAGGTGGGCAGTGCAGAGGGGTGCTTGGAGGGGGGAAGGCATGTCAGGGGAAGGACCAGGACAGGGAGCGGGGGAGAAGGAGGGCAGGGGCGTGGAAAGGAGTCCAGGCTGTGTGCTGTGGAGGCTGGAATGGGGCTGCCTGGGGATTGGTGCAGAGCTCCAGGCTGGGGCTTTTCCCGCCAGTGCTGCCTGAGAGTTCAGTGGTTCGGAGAATGGGTCTGGCCATAACACACTGCTCAGGCCCACCATGTTGGGGGCACCAGGACCATCCCAGGCAGTCCCAGAAGGTCACCAGGGCAGTACCTGGCAGTGCTCCGGGGAGTGTGCAGTGCAGGGACGCAGAGCCTCACACCTGCTGGGCGTGGATCCTGGCCCAGAGGTGGCAGGCAGGGCCGCTGCCCACTGGTGCACCCTTTAGCCAGCTCCTCCCGCACCCCTCATGGGAGCATGTTCAGGGTGCCTTTTGCTTTGGCAGCAGCATCAAAGCCACCAGGTCTTTGGATGCCAGGTGTGCGTCATGTAGCCCCTATGTCCGGGCCTGGCGAGACACAGCCAGCCCAGAGGGCACCTGCCTCAAGGGCTCCTGCATGCAGAGCTATGCGCCCCCTGAGACGAACTGGGCAACCTTTGGCCTGTGTCCCCAGCAGAAATTTGACGTTGGAAGCCTGGCCTGAGTTGGGCAGCCCCAGCAGCCAGCCAGGTCTTCACAGCTGTGCCCACAGCAGCCTGCCCTCCCATCACTGCTCTGGGTCATCAATGGGCACTGTTGCTCAGGACTCTGACCGAAAGCTGGCCATCACAGGGCAGCTGAGCCCTGGGGCTGCCAGGGCATGGGGATGCTTTCTGAGTTGGTGGGGCCAGTGGGCGAAGCAGACAGCCTGGAATGGTGGCTGGGCCTGGGGTCTGGGGCCTCCTCACCAGTTCCGGATGCTTCTGCCTCAGTCTGGAGGCCGGCAGTGTGCCTGCCACTCTGTGAAGTGGGGCTCTGGGCCTCCCTGTGGAGCGCAGGTTACTCCTTACGGGGGTTTGCGGGGGGAAGGGGGTGTTGCTGCAGCCCTGCCTTCCCTCACAGGTGCCGGCCGCCAAGGGTGGCGGAACCAGGAGAGCGAGCCCTGTTTCAGGCTCAGGGTGGCACAGGTGCTGGCAACACAGCCCACACTGGGGGGCCGGGGTGACAGGGCACAGGCGGTGGGCACACATGGCTGTCCTCGAGGCTGGCTGCTGTTTGTTGCGGGCCGGGCGGGGCAGGACTGTCTGGGGCTTCCTGCTTACCTCCCACCCACTTCACTGCCAGTGTCCCCTCAGAGCCAGTGACTCACCTGCAGGACAGAGCTGGGGGCACGCCCTGTCGTCAGCCACTGCGCAGCAGGATCCGGGGCACTGAGCCACGGCTGGGTGGAGGTGTGCTGAGAAGGAAGGCCCTGTCTCCTCTGCCCCAGGGACAGTTGCTCCCCACGTGTCCCTCCCTCCCCAGCCCTCCTCTGTGTCTTCACACGTGGGCGACATGGTCACTCAGTGTCACGTCTTCCTGCTGCCTCTGCTCCCCAGGGCCCTTGTTATGGTCCATGTGGACTGTGCAGGTCCCCCCCCCCCCCCCCCGTGGCCCCGCATCTGGTGGTCTGCTCTGTGCTGGGACGCACTCAGGCTGGCTCATGGGCTTCCTGGAGCTCGAGGAAAGGCTTGGGTTCGTTGAAAAGGCTTTGTCCCGAGGGCCCCGGGGCTTCCCTTCGTGTGCTTGGGCACTTGTACCCACACTCCTGGGACACGGGCGCACTGTCAGCTGGCTAGAGTCACGGGCTCCGTCTGCCCCGAGGCTGGCTGAGGCCGATTGGGCCGGCATGTTACAGCCTCAGGACCTGTGTGAGGGCTCGACTTTGGGGCTTGCTTTTACCTCTGTGGAGTGGTTTGTTCTTTCGGTGGGGGGCTCCACAACCAGGGTAGCGCCTGGTGGTGCTCAGGAAGCTGTGCAGAGCCAGCATGAAGCCAGGGCTTGTGCGCACAGCCTGCCAGCACCCCTTAGCCATCTCTCGGGCCCCTGCTGGGAAATTCCAACTGGGGGAGGTCTCAGCTGTCCCTGTCCCACTGGTCCCCTCGCCAGGCCTGCATGATCACTGAGCAGCATGGGGCAATGCAGGGGCCAGCTGGTGTCTAGCCACCCCTTCTCGGCTGCTTTCTGTGTCCTCTCAGCATCTGGCACGAAGCTGGGGCCCAGCTCAGCTCCTGCCTCACGGGGCCTTGCCAGGAGTCAGGCTGCACTGGGTGTCACTGCGCCGGGAGGCCGCCATTTGCTGTATTTGGGGAAGAGAGGGGCTGGCTTTGAAGCGGGTTTCGGGAGGTTTCTGAGACTTGCAGGCTGGGGAGAGGAGGATGAGAGTCTCCTGGGACAGGGGTGGGAGGTTTTGCACCTGGGAAGCCACTAGGGCAAGAGACTTCAGGGTGGGTCAGGGGAGAGTCTGGCCACAGTAGAGTGACAGGACATGGAACATGGGGCTGGTGTGGGTCCCCTGCCCCCACCCTGGATCACAGTGTATAAAGGCCTCTGGGACTTTACCCTAAGGTAGGCAGGCTGGGGTATAGGAGGGCCAGGGCCCTGTGCTTGTTCAAGGTCACTAGGTATGGCCACCTGTCCACCTGCCTACCCCCACCCAGCCCGGGTTGGTATCTGAGGGGTCCTTTTCTGTTGGGTTCCCCAGTGTGAGGGTACAGGGGTGGCTTCATGTTTGGCCTTGCTGTGCTGGAGCCCTGCCTCATGTCTCCCTCCACTGCCCCCCATTACCCCCTTCCTCCAGTGCACAACGCCGCGGTGAACGCCCTCTCCTTCCACCCATCGGGAAACTACCTGGTCACGGCCTCGAGTGACTCCACGCTGAAGATCCTGGACCTCATGGAGGGCCGGCTGCTCTACACACTCCACGGGCACCAGGTGAGGCTCTGCCTGGCGGGGGCCCGGCTGTCCCTGATGTGGAGCTGGCCCTGGAGCCCTTGGGCTGCTTTCTTGGCGTGGCTGCTGGCACTGCTGCGGGAGTTGTGGAGTCGGTGGGGGCACGTGGCCTCTGGCACAGCTGGCCTCAGGGTCCCCCGGTCCAGTAGGAGCGTCCAGCTGGGAGCTCCGGCCCAGGGAGGCATCTGCACTGGTGTAGCATCTCCCAGGGTAGCTCCAAGGAGACCTGCCTGTGACTTGGGAGCTCCCGGAACTGAGCAGGGTCCCAGGCCTTCTCACCGAGCAGCTGCCACCAACACTGGTGTCCTGGTCTCCCTTCCAGTGGCTGCCCTGGCTCCTATGTCACCTGCCACCAGCTGTCTGGGGCCTGTGTCTTGTGGGGAGGCGGAGCCAGGGGTGCAGACTCCAAAACTCTTCATTGTGTCCTTCTTACACCTGTGAGCAGGGGCAGGTGGGGAGAGGCGGGCTGGGCAGACAGGAGCGCCCCGAATTGGGCATGTGGGCATTGGAAGGAGCACTGGTCTCTTCCACCTCCTGGGGCCTGGAGGCTGCTCATCGCCTTCAGCCTGGGGGAGGCTGCTCTTCTGGGTGCACATCTGGGGTGCGGGTGTGCAGGCAGCGGGCTGTTCCCCAGTGCTGGCACACCATGCTGCTTGTGCCTGCCTTGTCAGCTCTCGACAGGAGGGCTGTTTGGAGTCACATCCCACCATGTTTGGATCCTGCAGGTAGGCACTGAGAGTCAAGTAAATGCTGCCGCTTGTCCAGCTCCCCTGAGATGAGAGGGCAGCTGCATACCCAGAGAGGGGGGGGGCGGGCAGAGTGAGAGAGTATATGTGTGTATGAGTGTATGTTAGTATATGTGTGAGTGTGTGTGTGTTAGTGTATTTGTGAGTGTGTGTGTGTGTATGTGTGTGTGGTGGGGGGGAGTCTTTAAATTACTGGCTCCCCTCTCTGTCTGGCTCATCGGAGTGCACAGGGGAACTGGCCACACTGTTCTGAGAAGTGAAACGGCCTGAGTGAAGCAGTCCTGGGTTGTCTGCGGTGGGAAGTGGGCAAAGGGCTGACGGGTGGTTTGGGGGTGTGGTGAACAGGAAATGGCTCCGTAGAATCAGGCACTGGGCCCACTGTGCTCAGGGGCAGGAGGGAGGCCAGAAGCAAGCTCACCCCTGCCCATCTGTGTGCTGGTGCGTCAGGGCCGGCCGAGCACCGGGGTGCAAGACGGGAGTCCCAGTCTCTGAGGTTCTCTGCCTGGCCTTGAGGGGTCTCTCTGGGCTGACAGGAGACTTCGGTGAGGCCTAGAGGCTCAGGCGAAGGTGGATCAATCCGGTCTTTGTCCAGTGTAGAAGTTGGGGTACGGGCCTCAGCTTGTTTCTCATCCCACTCCCCCTCCCCCCAGAGCCCTTATCAGTTACAGAGCCCTGGACAGGAGTACAGGCCAGGCTAGAGAAGGGCAGAGGGGAGGTGCGGGCAGTGCCTCGGCCCTAGCCTTCACCCCTGGGAATGCCTTTCTTGGTGACGGCTGCTGGAGCTGCTGCACCCGTGTTTGAGGAGGCTTCACACAGCGCATGTTTCTCAGGAAACCCCCAGTATTTCCAGGAGCCGTGTGTGGTCTGGAAAAGCCCCGGCACTTGGTGGAAACATCTTCTTGTGCTTCAAGACTCAGAGGAAGGGCCTCAGGCCTGGGGTTAGAGACTGACACAGGAGGCAGGGCCCTGGTCTTTCCTTGCATTTGCCTTGCAAGCAGCTGACCCAGCTTTGATCCACGGCACCCCATATGTCCTCTGAGCGCAGAGCCAGGAGTGAGGTATGGCCCTAAAACAACAGCATCAAAAGACTGCCATCTCCCTCTGGCCGGGAGCCGCGTTCCGTCCTGCTGAGCACCAGGCTCGGGCTGGGGCGTGTAGGTTTGTCTCTTTCCCCTTAAGTTGTCAGGAAAAGACCCATGATTCTCCTAAGCATCTGCCATTGTCCTGAGCAGTGTGGCACTGCCCGACCCAAGCCCTGGACCACTGAGTGCCCCGCACTGGCCCGAGCTCCCTGTCACAGGGTGGGGGCAATGCGGTCGAGATGCAGATGGATTTTTCTGTACTTTGTGAAGCATCACCTCGGGCCCAGCTCACGGGGTTTCAGTCCCCAGAGCTATTTGGGAGAAGATGGTGGGCGGGCCGTGGGCGGGGAGTTAAATCTGCTGTTTGTGGTGGTGCAGTTGGTGATCGTGCTGCTGTGCAGTGACTGACGGGCTGGGATGATGGGCCCGAGGTGCGGGGGAGCAGCTGTTCCAGGGTCCGTGCCAGCAGCGGGGGCCAGTGTCAGGGTCCCCCTTGTCAGAGTAGCTGTGATCGGGGCGCTGGTTCCCTTGTGGGGACCCTTCGTGGTGGAGAGCGACTTGGAGCCTCAGGGGACCTCTGGCTGACTGGTGTGGCTGGTACCTCCCGGGCGTGGTGCAGGACCTTGCTCATTCCCTCCACCTTACTCACCAGACGCATCATGCTCCCCAGTTTCTGAAGACTGGGCGTGGGCTGTCCTTGGCCAAGGTCAGGGAGGGGCTCAGCTTGGGGTAGGGGCTGCTCCTGTTCACAGCCCAGGAGGAGTCGCCCAGCTTTGCCGCAGTGGGACCCTGCCTGGCAGGGGTTGGGATCAGGAGTCGGTAAGGCTAGATTGTGCCTCCTGGTGGTCTCTGTCTGACGAGCGCCTTGTCAGCCCTGACTGAGGCTTTTGGGCTTGACCTGCCTATGCTGTCGTTGTCCTGTTTGCAGGCGACCGGGAGAGACTGCTGCAGACCCTCGGGAGGTGGTGGTGGTGGTGGACATTCTGGCTGTGCCCTTGTTGATATCATCTCCACTGTGGTGGACAGTGGTCTCGGCTTTAGTGGACAGTGGTCGCCAGATCTCAGTGAGTCTGGTGGGAGGGGTGAGGAGAGTGGAGCAGTCAGGGTAAGGGATGTGAACCATCAGGAGCTGGGTGTTTTTTCCCTTTTAGGTTTTGAATTCCTTTTCCCCACAGATGGACACTCGGCTGTTTGGAGAGTGAAGAAAGCAGGCAGAGAATGTGGGCCGGTGGCTTAGGGAGGCAGGTTGAAATGGCTGGGATGGACCGTCTGAGCTTGGCCCAGCCCACAGGCCAGGAGCAGGCCACCAGAAAGTGGAACGGGCAGGAAATGTATCCCAGCCCATCACTGTCGGTATCAAAGGAGATGCCCCAAGGTTTGAAACACGAGTGTATCCCTAAGTAACCTGGGCACTGAAGACGACCTGGGGAACTCAGCATCTGAAAGCAGAAAACAGTGAAGGTGGAATGTGAGTTGAAGACTTGGGGGTCTGTCTATAGTAGTAATCGGAGGCAAATTTATAGCCTTAAATGAATATATTACAATCAAGAAAGATGACAAATAACTAAATTAAGTGCCGGATATGTGGGTCAATGGGAGGGCACTTGCCCGGTATACTGCAAAATAAAAAAGAAAAGCAAAAAAATCAAAGCCAAACTCATTGCAGGGCTAAGGGTCAGGGAAGTAGCTTAGTGGGCTGGAGTTCAGACCTCGCATTTATGAGACCCTGAGTTCAATCCCCGGCACCATATGCTCCCCAGCGCCACCGAGGGTAACCCCTGAAGGCCCCAGGTATTACCGGATGCAGTCCCGTGGCCGCCAACTACTCTGATAGGCAGCATTGCATAGGAGTCGCCCCTGTGACCCCTTTCTGCTCACTGCAGAAGGTCACAGGAAGGACATGGACGAAGAGAAGGTGTGTGAGCAGCAGGGCGCAGTCCAGGGGACAGAGCACTGGTGGGAAGCCCTGGAAGGCACGGGCAGCCAGGCCTTCCACCACACCCAGGCTCCTGGATTACCGCAGGAGCTTCTCAGGAGCACTAGGTTGTTGGAGGAGGAGCTGAGAGTCATCTCGAAGAGGACTGCAGACCTTGCCCCGTCTGGATGTTCTCTGAGCACTTGTTGCTCTCCTTCCCCAGTCTCTTGGGACCCTTTTTGTGTGTGTGTGTGTGTGTGTGTGTGTGAATCACCATTAGATAGTTACAGAGCTTTCATGATTTGAGTCATACAATGATCGAACACCCATCCCTCCATCAGTGTATATTTTCCGTCACCAATGTCCCCAGTATCCCTCCCACCACCCTCACCCCACTCGATCCCCTGCCTCTATGGCAGACAATTTCCCTTACTTTTGGAGCATTATGGTTTGCAAAACAGATAATGAGAGGCCAACATGTTTGGTCCTTTACTTTCAGCACATATCTTTCATCCCGAGCGATTCTGCCAACCATCATTGACTTGGTGATCCCTTCTCTATCCCAGATGCCTTCTCCCCCAGCTCATAAGCAGACTTCCAAACGTGGAACAGTCTTCCTGGCTCTTGTCTCTACTGTCCGTCTCATACTATGTTATTTTATATTTCACAGATGAGTGCAGTCCTTCTGTGTCTGTCCCTGTCTTTCTGACTCATTTCACTTAGCATGATGTTCTGTATCCATGCACTTATAAGCAAATTTCATGACTTCATCTCTCCTAATAGCTGCATAGTATTCCACTGTGTAGATGTACCATGGGCTGGAGCCATAGCACAGCAGGTAAGGCATTTCTCCACCCCTCTAGGAGAGCCTGGCAAGCTGCCGAGAGTATCTCGCCGGGCCGGCAAAGCCTGGCAAGCTACCCATGACTTATTCGATATGCCAAACATAGTAACAATTCTCACAATGTTACTGGGCCCACTCAGCAAATAGATGAACAACTGGAGGACAGTGCTACAGTGCAAATGTACCATAGTTTCTTTAACCAGTCGTCTGTTCTCAGGCACTCGTTGGGACCCATTTTCTAGGGAAGCATCTTGCTCTTCATGTCAGGAGTGGTCCTCGCACTTGTCTAGGCCTCCTCAGTGCCCAGCCAGGTGATGCCCCGCTGCTTGGGAAAGGAAGACCAGGAATGATGATTGGGCTTCTGGCCACCTGCCATTCCTCAGTGAGCCTAGACCAGAGTTCCGCCTGTCTCCTGTGCTCCATGGGCTGGCTTCCTTCCCCTTTCTCTGTTTCCTCTTTGTTTTTCCTCAAAATGAAAATAGTCTTGTTATTTTTTAAACATTATAAAGGGAGGGGGTTCTCACGTGTGTTCAGGATGCTGGGGGGGGGGGGCCCTTCTGGGAAGTTTGGCCAACCAGACCAGCAGTCCAATGCTAAGGCCCAGCAGTGCTGATGGACCTCCAGGGGTGCACCTGGCAAGGCTGGGGGACCAGGTGGTTCTTGGGTTGGCTGCCTTAACCCCTCAGCCCCTGCTTTTCATGCCCTGTTGCTTTGATTCCACGGGCTAGAGCGATAAGCACAGCAGGTAGGGCATTTGCCTTGCACGTAGCCAACCTGGGTTTGTTTCCTCCATCCCTCTTGGAGAGTCAGGCAAGCTACCGAGAGTATCCTGCCTGAATGGTAGAGCCTGGCAAGCTACCGTAACATATTCAATATGCCAAAAACAGTAACAACAAGTCTCACAATGGAGACTTGCTGGTGCCCGGTCAAGCAAATCCATGAACAATGGGAGGACAGTGTTACAGTGTTGCAACTGTTGCAACTGTTGCAGTTGCTTTGATTCTGTAATTGACAGCACTTCTACCTCCTCATTACAAACTTAACATTTTGTAACATAATAAAGATTTCCCCAAATTCCAAATTTGAAATGCCACCCCCTGTCCCTATTGGTCCTGGTAACTTCAATTTTATTTTATTTTTTTGTTTTTGGGCTCAGGGTACTCCTGGCTTTGTATTTAGGGATCACTCCTGACAGTGCTTGGGATCCTTACAGGATGTCAGGGACAGAACCAGGATAGTTGTGTGCAAGGCAAATGCCCCACTGGCTGTGCTGTTGCTCCAGCCCCAAATCTCATTAACTCTTTATTTCTTGGTGACTGCTCACTTGGAAGGGTGTCTGAACCCAGCCTGCAAACTGTTCTCTGAGGACCAGTTGGTTTCGTACTCTAGGTTGGCTATCCCCAGACTGCTCTTCATCAGCCCCGTTCCAGCCCCCGGAAGCCTTGGGGGTTGGGACATTTCCTGCCGCCCCTGTGCCAGACCGTGAGACACTTGCCACATGCCTGTCTCTGTATTCCGGTGGAAATAGCCTCTCTCCAGCCCCTCATCCAGTTCATGACTCGTCTGTTCTTGCCTGGCGCTGAGCAGAAGGCGCTTTCTGGTTTCCTCTTCTTGTTTTGTCTTTTTGGCCACACCCTGTTATGCTCAGGCCACATGGCTTTGAGGATCAAACCAGGGGCTTCACACTTGCAAAGCAAGTGCTCTATCACTTGAAGCTCATGCCAGCCCTCTGCAAAACAAAACAAAACAAAAAAACTGGCTTTCTGCAGTAGATTTCAGGCATGTGGGAAAGAACCTCCCAGCTTCCTGGGAGATCGTGCTCCCTCTGCCCCAAGCCTGGACGTGCTCCCTGACCCTCAGCTCCCTGACACACACCTGGCATTGCCCTTCCGTCAGTGCCTAGGAAGCCAAGATGGGCACATCTCCTTCTGAGGACGGTGGCACGCAATGTCAGAGGGAAGGGGCATCTTGCCTCGCTGCCCAGACTCCTACAGTGACCCACTTCCCACCCTTTCCTCTCCTGGTTCTAGCCGCCTGTGTGTGGACCCCAGTTGGTCCAGAAAAAAGAGCCCCCTGTTCCTGCCGTGGACTCTTCTGTGGGGCTCTGATCTCAGTCTGACGTAGGGGAGCAGCGTGGTCTGAGTTGGGGGACTGAGTTCTGTCACAACCCGGGTTGAAGGTACCTTTCCTCGCTTCTCTGTGGGAAGCGGGGGTGAGACCAGTCAGGCAGAACTCTTGTCTTTCCTCTCTGCCCCCATGACCCCCGGGCCTGGGGTCAGGAATAGAGATCTCAACTGTGGCTCATGCCTGGGGTCCTTGGGGGGAAGATTGGGGGTGTTTCTGCACTGTGTGAGAGAGAGAGAGTCAGGAGGGAAAGCGAGGAAGCACTTGCCTTGCATACTGCTACCCCCAGTACCATCTGTGTTATCACCTGATTTCATCTAGCACAGAGCCAGGAGTGGCCCCTGAACACAGGGCTACTGTGGCCCGGTCCCCCACCCCAAACAAACAGAGGTGCAGGCCGGAGTGATAGCGCAGTGGGTAGGCCACTTGTCTTGCACACAGCCGTCCCAGATCAGCCTCCTATACCACATATGGTCCTCAAGTCCTGCCAGGAGTAAACCCTGAGCATTGCTGGGTATGACCCAAACCCCTTTAAAAAAAAAAAGGGAAAAAAAAAATAAAAGACTGGGTGGCAATCTCAGGTTCCAAACAGGTATGTGTGAGCCTTTGGGAAGCTCCAGGGCATGGTGCTCCACACTGACCAAGTCGCCATGTCTATCTGCACCAAATCGCAGACCAGGGAGTATGTGACTGAGGCTCTGTCCTGGGCTGGGTTCAAGCTCCCGGGCCACCAGGAGACCCACCTCCCCAAGAAGTGGAGATTGGCCAAGTTTAATGCAGAGGAGTTAGAAGATGTGGTGACTGAAAATCAGCTCATCCTAGATGCCTGCAGGGTCACCAGGATCCCGGGCCTCTGGAAGAGTGGCGGACACTGCACTCCTGAGCGTCTCAGAGCTGCCCCTCCCCCCACAGACCCTGCTGCCCACCCGAGCCCTCATCACCCCATCCCACTCCACCACAGTAAATCCTGCTTCTTTTTGTTTGTTTTGGGGCCATACCTGGTGGTGCTCAGGGGTTACTCCTGTTTCTGCACTCAGAGGTGAGGCCTGGCACTACTGGGGGATACATAGTGGGTACCAGCAATTGAATTCTGGTTGGCCACATGCAAGGCAAGCACCCTACCCACTGTACTGTCTCTTCACCCCTAAATCCTGATTCTTTTTTTTTTTTTTCAAAAGACTGGGCAGACCTTTGAAGGAATGAATTAAAAATGAGCAGTTCCTCAGGCACTGCTGTCTGGTTCCTCTGAACATTGTACTTAGAGGGCTTTTGTGTTTACTTCTTGTTATTTGTGTTGCTAGGGCCCAGCCACCTGTGTTGCCTTCTCAAGAACAGGGGAATATTTTGCTTCTGGAGGTTCTGATGAACAAGTAAGTAATGAGGGGAGAGGGGCAGAGGCAGCCGGGGTGGTCAGGTGTCTGCAGAGGCCAGCGCTCAGGGTGGCTAGGCAGTGACAGTCAGCTCCTCTGCCCGGGCTTGTGATGTGGGCCTGGAGGCCTGCGCTTTGGCTGCTGCCCCCCGTTCTGTAGAACTGTGTGTCCGTAGCTGCCCAACAGGGCTTCCCCGAGACCCTGGCCTGCTGGGTACTGCTGGTCCAGCGAGGGGCAGTGCTGCCCGAGAGGACGTGTCCTGTCTCCCCTTGTCACTCGTGCTGAGGGCTGCCTGTGGGATGGATTGTTCAGGGGCTGACTGCTGAGGCAGGGGACCCACGGCTATTCAGGGCCGCCATCAACCCGGTGAGTACCCTTGGAGTGACATCGGACATTTTGTCTTCACGTCCAAGAGAGGCTTCTTAGTACTGGGAGTGTATGCAGCGCTTAGACCTGTGCAGTTCCACAGGAGCCACTAGCAACGGGAGTGTTTGCACAGGGGATGGCGGAGAAACAAGGCCAGGGCATAGGGAAGGGGGAGCCCCTGGCAGGGGCAGCAAACAGTGGCACTGCCCAGAGCGGCACGGCCCACCTAGAGACCCTGATGGGGGAAGTGTCCAGGGCAGGGTGAGTATTCACTTGACCTGAGCACAGGTGTGGTTCTGTGTCAGCCACAGGCCACAGGCCATGCTCCATGTTTTCTGTCAGCTGAGGTGGCCCCAGAAGAGCAGGGCTGAGAACTGGGGCCCACAGGGCTGTTTGCTCAGCTGTGGTGGGGGAAGCCTCGGGACGTGAAGATGGTCTGAGGGGATGCGGGCTGAAGGGAATGTCACCAGTGCTCCCCAGTACCAGCCTCTAAGGAGGGAGCAGAAGAGGAAGCCAAGGCACAGAGAGGTTACTTGCCTCGAGTCACACAACAGGGAGTGGAGTTGGTATCTTTGTGGAGGGGCATTGCTCCTGCCGGTGCTTGGGGGACATAGAGTGCAGGGCATGACCTCTGGGGCTCCTGCATGCAGAGCCTGGCGCCAGTTCTTCGTTCCGCTCCTCGGCCCCTGCAGTCCGTTCCCCAAACTTTGCTCTCTTGGCGTGGAAGTCACGAAGAACAAACAAAAAAAAAAAACCAAAGAAAGGGACTAATGGATCTAGTAGCTGTGAGAGAGATGAATAGTGGGCTGAGATGAAAATGAGCAGGAGCCGCTCTGAGGGGGTGGAGGAGGGGGCGGCAGCCCGAGAGGGGCCGCTCAGGGGCGTGGGCACAGCCCTGGGCTGCCTGCATGTCCTGGCAGGCCCAGCGCTTTGGGAGTAAGGTCCATGCCCGTGTCTTCGCAGGTGATGGTGTGGAAGAGCAACTTCGATGTCGACTATGGAGAAGTCACGAAAGGGCAGAGACCCCCGGCCATGCTCAGCAGCTCCTCCAGGAACCTGGTGAGTGCCCGTTGGGCATGTCAGGGCCTGTGTCCTGTGGCTGGGTCCTCTTGAACTGCGGTGGGCTCAGGAGGCCGGGGGTCTGCAGCTCACCCCGGCACAGGGAAGGAAGCGTGGGGGCCTCACAGAATGCTTTGACGCTCGGTGCGGTGTGTCTGGGCTAGAGGGAGCGAGCCATGTGGAGAGACGGCGGGGCACTGCTGCAGGCAGCCTGGCATAGTCTGGACTGGGTGTCCCCCGGAACCTGCTGCTGGCCAAGGAGAGGACCGACTATGTTGTGCTGCACCTTGAACCCCAGAACCACATTCGGGTTCCTAGAGGTGCCGGGCCCACACCCACGCTGGCGCGAGTCAAGAGGGTGCTGGCCCGGCCGCTCTCACTTCCGCTTCTTCTTACTGTGCGGAGGAAGTTTCTCGGCCACAGGCCACAAACCATTTTTAGTGCCTTTGTTGGTTAAAGGGCATTCAGTGCTAACAACATTTTTTTGATTCAATTTTTATTGTTTTTTATTTTTTTAATTGTTTTGGTTAGGGGGCACACCTAGCTGTGCTTCAGGCTTCATCCTGGCGCTGTGTTCAGGGGTCACTGCTGGCAGGGCTCGAGGGACCGTGTGGGGAGCCAGGGATTGAACCCGGGTCGGCTGCGTGCAAAGCAGGTGCCCTACTCTCTGTGCTGTCTTTCCGGCCCTGGATGAATGTTTAGGGGAAAGTTGAAAATTGATAACAGATAGATTCTTACTGAATAAAGTCGCTGGAGTAAAACTTAAAGCAAGAGTGTGGGGCCCAAGGGTTTTATATCCCGCTGGCCACTGGCTGTTTAGATCTCTCCTTCCTGGACAGAGCCAGCATGGCCTCTCCCCAGCTGGAAACTGGCTCCAACAACAGGAAGTGACTTGCCCCGCTGGCCAAGTTAAGGCAGGACCCAGAATAGAAGCAGGAAATGGCAGAGTCCATCCTTGGCTCTCCCTGGCTCCAGGGTGTGGGGCCCCCTCTCCCCCCACCCCCCCCCCCCCCCCCCCCCGCCTCCCACCTCTTGCGCTGGGGTGACCTCTAGGAATAGGCCAGGTTGGGATTTGAGGCTTTTCTTCCAAGAATTGGCCCTGGCCAGAGGGGTTTTTTCTACCTCTGCATTTGCAAAGAAGAGGCCAGTTGTCAGCCTCAGCTTTGTGGGAGCGATGGTGGGCTGTCAGACTGTCCGCGTCCTCTCTGCACCAGTGTTGTCACCTGGAAAAGCCTTGTCCCTCAGCCTCTTCCCCACCCCCCCACCCCCCGTCACAGTGGGGAGCCCAGCCCAGCTTCTGCATGTGCTGACCCTGTCCGGGTGCTGGGGTGTAGGTGCTGCTGTCCCTCTCTGGTGAGATGCCTGGGGCTTAGACCCTCTTCAGTGTGTGTCCCTGGGGGCTCGAGGCATTGGCCCTCTAAGCAGTGTAGACTGTTCTAGAAACAGCAGGCGCAGAGGATGCTGGGAAGGCCACAGCGGGGAGAGCCCCTCGCAGTCACTAGAAGTCCACCTGGACTCTGTCTCTTCTGTTCTCCAGCCCCTCTCTGAGACAGGGCGTGGGGCTGAGCGGAAGGTGGTGGCTTCAGGAAATCGGGGCCGGCGGGCAAGCTCCCTTCAGGCCTAAGGAGGCATATCTGCCTCCACAACCTCACCACAGGGGCCCCACGGGGAGGCCGGTGGCTCTGGGGGTTGAGCCTGAAACCGCAAAGTGCCCTGCCCTTCCCGCATCCCCCCCAGGTGCTGGACTAGCCCCCAGAGTGGTCTCGAGGTTCCTCGGGGCCCAGGTGCTCTGCAGCCAGGTGCCAGGTGGCAGCATGTGCAGCGAGCCTTGGGCTCAGCCCTGCCCACACGCTGCCCCCCAGGAATGCCTGGGCTCCCTCCTCACACCGTTTGACCTCCTTGGGCCATTCTGCGTGTTTAGGGTTGAGCAGCATCTCTGGCCTCGACCCAGTGGTGCCAGCAGCATGGCCTGTTCCCTAGACATGCCAAACAAAAGATGTCTCCCAGCATTGCCATGTGGGTGGGGCGAGGGCAGAGTGCCCCCAGCCTCCAGTTGAGTAACTCCGTGCCCTGCCTGGATGAACCCAGAGAGGCGGCTGGCCTGGCACTGGGACAAATGGCCCAGCAATGAGAGGGGTGCGGGGTAGCACCCAAGTCGGCCCTATCACACTTCCCCTGTGTGCCGAGTGAGCCTACAGCGTGGGGCTGGGGTCTGGGCTGCTAACAGAAGCCCCTTTTGTGGTCTGGTCCATTCAACTTTGGAATCTTCCAGAGGGGATGGTGAACAACAAATACAGACCTTTAGCTACTTGGTTTTCTTCGCTTACGGCCAGGGAGTGTGCTGGCCCTGCTCGTGGGCTCCCTGGCCCTCAGGGGGCAGCTGGTGAGCAAGTGGGGTGGTGGCTGGCCAGAGACTTTGGCATCTCACACTCCCGGAAGCACCCTGTCAGGCCCCAGAGCTCGCTAGTCTAATGGCCCTGGTCCCCCTTTGCTCTGGCTTGCGGCCCCTCAAGTTGCTTTAGATGTGCCTGGGTGTATGAGGAGGGTTTTTCCTTTTGTTTTTTTAGGCCACACCCAGCAGTGCTCAGGGAATTACTCCTGGTGGGGCTCAGGGGGCCCACATGGGGTCCTAGGGATCAAGCCCGGGTTGGGTGTAAGCATTCTACCTGCTGTACTATTGTTTTGGCCCCAGTATTTGGGAATTCTTAAGCCCAAATACTAGGCCACAGACTGGTCTTGGAATTCGGAGCATGTATCTGTTTGACTGAGGTGTTTGGAGGAAGCAGTTCCCAAAGCCAGAGAGACTGCGCGTCCGTGCCCGGCCCTGGGAAAGCCCTGCCGGGATCTGCCCCTTGCCGTGGCCTTCAGCTCTGGCTTTGGAGTGAAGGACATCTTTGAGCCACTGAACAGAGCTCTGTTCGCCGCGAGAGCTATTTTCAACCTCTGGTTGAAATTCACAGCTTATTTTTAGGCACATTTTATGTTGAAAAACATAAGCCATTTCCCAGCCCTTCAGAGTGAGAAGAATAGTTCCATTTTCCCTCTTTCTTGAGCGTGTTGCAGGGCGGGTGGTGGTGAGTGCCAGGGTTGGAGGGCCAGAGTCGGGCAGCCGCAGAGGAAGGGGCTCAACCCTGCCTGGCGGAGGAAGCTTCCAGGCTGGAGGAGGGCTGCCTGCATGCGGGCAGCTGAGCGCCTCCCAGGAGGAGTTGGTGTTGGGGTACAGGCGGCCCCGGGGGCTCTCTGCAGGGGTGCCTGTGCCTAACTCCATCCCTGACTGTGTGTCCGCCACCCCCGCCCCCCCATCTCTCGCCTGTGCTCTGTGCCTCAGGGCCTGTCCCAGAGCACAGGGACCTTTGTGTCTTGGCTGACCTTGGATTTGGCACCTGCCCCCCTACGTCCCCGCTGCTCCAGGACAGACGTCTGCCTCAGCCACAGAAGCATTTTAAAACCGCTTTAAATAGCACAGGTGCATTTGTTGGTACGGACTCGTACCTTGCCTGCCTTCAACCCCAGGAGGCCAGCGTGCGTCTGGGAGGGGTGGGGTGGGGGTGGGGGACGAGGGGAAGCACTTCGGGGAACCTAGTGAGACTGAAGCCCCCTCCTGACTTCTCAGGGCTGTGCAAGCAGGAAGCTTGAGGTTGGGGCAAAGGGCTTTTCTCCTCAGCCCCAGCCAGCGAGCTCGGCCCTGGGGGCGGCGGCCTCCGGGGTGGACTCTGCCGGCTGGAGCTTGGCCCTGCGCCTGTCTCATGGCAAGTGCTCACCCAGCTGTAACTATTTTTAAAATGTTCCTCTTCCTTCCTCTGTCCTCCTATGAGCTGATGGGGCCTCTGCCCAGTCCGGGTGATTGTGTGTTCAGAACCTGCTGCGGTGGGGGCAGGGTGCTTCCTGGGCCCTTTCCCACGCTGACCTTCTTGTAGCCTCCCTTGGGGAGCAGTGAGGGTATCGGCCAGAGGCTCCTAGACAGCCTACTGTCCCCTTGGGGGGGGGGGTGTTACCCAGCACTCACCCCACCCCCGGAAGCAAACAAACAGGAAGTGCCCCCCCCCACACACACACAGCCTCCAAGGCTTCCACCCCACCACCGGCATTACCCACTGTGGGTCGAGAGACCCTGGCCCCTGCTCCCACACAGAGAGCAGCCCTGGGAGGGAGTGACTCTGGCTCCTGTCTCCTGGGACAACCTCGTTGACCAGAACTGGCCCCGGTAAGAGGAGCTGGGAGCTGGGACGAGTGCCCGCAGCCTTCATGGCAAAAGGACTGTTCCCTCTCTCCTTCCTGTGAGCCAGACAGTAAAGGTCCACCCCACCCTGCTTCCCCACATCAGCCCCTGTGAGTCTGCTGTGGATGCTGCCCATGGTTGGGCTTGCGTTAAGTTCCTGGGCCCAGGCCTGACCCAGAACATCTGAGCCCTCCCAGCACTAACCCTGTACAGGGTCTGAGGTTCCCACCTGGGCGTCTGGCCTGAGGAGCCAGGCCCCATCTCACCTTGCCTCTCAGGGGCGGGGGGGATTTCCTTTCACTCCCCGAGATGCATAGTCCTGACTGGCTTGTTTTGTTTTCAATAACTGGGGGGCAGCGTGTGGGTGCCCACGTTCATGGCCTCAGAGAGGAGCCTCTCCTGCCTCTACCTGACCTCAATTCTGGCTACACAGTCTCCCAGACTGTTGAGAGGGTGAGTCAGAAGATGCCCTGGGCACTAACACATCTTGGAAAGGGGATGGCTTATGGGTTACAGACTCCAGCACATTCTCTGGGCTCTGCCTCCTGATGTGCACCCACCTCTGCAGACTCAGAGGGACACCAGCAGACCCTTCCCGGCTCTTCCTGCCTGCTTTTGCTGTTGTGTTAACAGGGAAGTGGGGGCCCTTTGTCCGCCTGTGTCCAGGAAGCCATGGCTGCACAGACCAGCACCCCTGGCCCAGAGGTCCTCTGCCAAGTGGCCCAGGTTCCACGTAGGAGTGCCGTGACACACAACATGAGTAGGAGTGCCGTGACACAAA